GCAAACGAGAACCCATCTGGAAGTGCTTTGAGATGCGCAGAAGATACTGAAGGAATGGGAAGGCCAGCCTCCATCCTAGTCCATAGAAGGAGCATGCCTTCCAGTGCTTGGAGAATAGAGCTGGTTTACAAGCCACATTCCAGCTCATCTGCAGTAGCTACAGTCAGCCACTCAATATCTACACGCGGGGTAACATTTTCAACTAGAGGTTTGGGGGTGCTGCTCTGGAGTCAGAGTTGCCGGTTCGAATCCAGATTCTACCACTAGCTTAGAGACCTTGGGAAAGTGAGTTAAATTCTCCAAAGCTCAGCCTCCTGGTTGTGAAGTAGGAGTGGTCCTCACCTCACAGACTGGGGTGAGGACTGAAGGAGGCAATGAGAGCAGTTTGGGCGCAGAGCAAAGCGGCTTAACTTTTGTTACCATTGACTCTCTTTAATCTGCCATTTTCCCATAAGCACTTGCTCCTTATATTATTACTTTTTTCCACACTCCTACTGAGCCGGGAGGTCCCAGTGCAAATAACTGTCTTAAAATCATACAGCATGTCAGGGAGGGGAAGGCAGGGAGGAGAGGGCTCATCGTCAGAAGTCAGGAGTCCTGGGCTGATGCCTGCTCTACCATTGCCAAGCTGTATGACTTGGACAAGTCACCTCACCTCCCTGAACTGTTGTTTCCTCATCTATGAAATTGGAATAATGATGCTGTCTCACAAGGTGGTTAAGAAGATTAATGAGGGCTTCCCTGGTGGCGCAGTGGTTGAGAGTCCACCTGCCGATGCAGGGGACACGGGTTTGTGCCCCGGTCCGGGAAGATCCCACATGCCGCGGAGCGGCTGGGCCCGTGAGCCATGGCCGCTGGGCCTGCGCGTCCGGAGCCTATGCTCCGCAACGGGAGAGGCCACAACAGTGAGAGGCCCGCGTACCGCAAAAAAAAAGGTTAATGAAATAACAGAGGTGCTCGATCGTTGTTAAGTTTCCCGTGCTCCAGACTTGCAGTCCTGGGACAACCCCACAATTTAGAAAACTATTCTAAAATGCCACCATCCTTATGTTTTGCCGGTAGCCTGTTCCCGGCAGTCTTATTGTCCATCTCCCTGCCTCTGAGTCAGACCTCATCTCTTTAACCCAGCGTAGTCTGACATCTCTCGGCTCTCCCTCAGATCTCAGGAGCAGAACTTTCCCCCGTCCATCTCAAGCTCATGACAATGGGAAGTTCTTATGAAGTCTCACCCAGAGCCAGCCTGAACATGGAATGATGGCACCAACAGGTGTGTGAGGACAAGTTTTTGGGCCTCTGGATCTGAGTGAAAGGCTAGGAGGGAGATGAGCCTAGGATGAGGCCTGTAGCGCTGCCTGCCGGGCATGTCTGAGGCTCTGGAAGAGAGAAGGGGCACAGTGGGGGCTTGGAGAGCATGAGTCAGCATTAGAGTTTGCGGGACTGGGATGAAGCCGACCTGGAGTGGGAGGATAGATCAGCCAAGGCCCAGGCCGAGCACCTGTCAGGATGGGGTCCGGGCCCCTGGAGGGGCTGGGCCGCCGGGGCCGCGCCTGCTCTGCTTACCTGCACGTAGTTGTCCTCGCAGTAGTCTGCGACTCGCAGCAGGGAGCTGTAGTTGCCCTGCAGGGCCTCCCGGCCCGTGGGGATCTCAAACTCCTGCAGCTGCTGCAGCTCCGCCATGGCCCCCCGCCTCTGCCTGGCTCCCCGGGGAGCCGCTGGTTTTGCGCCTCACCCTGCCCTTGATTGGTCGCTCTGCCTTCCCTCCCTCTCACTGCTTTTGGTTTCCTCTGCTTGAGAGACCCAAACCCACTTGCAAAGGGCAGACATGCTCATTCCGGCACAAGAGGAAGTTAGTCCCCGCTCCCTGGGCCTGTGCTTCTCTGTCCCCTGCCCAGGGGAAGGGGGAAGCTGGGGGCCCCTTGCAGGGGCCCAGCCCCCCAATCCCTCCCAGCAGAGGAAGCCAAGGTCGGGGCGGCTGTGATTGCTCCCTGGGCCTGGAGAGGAAACTGCAGCGGGGGCTGGGATGGGAGACAGGAGGAAGGGGGCTGGCCTGCTCTGGGGGTGGAGATGGATTTTCCACTCATGGAAGGGGAGGAAAGGGCAGAGGGTGGGGGCTTCCTTGGGAAGCTCGGGGATGAGTCACCAAGAGACAGGGGACTGGAGGGTGGAGAGGATATGGAGACCGGTTGTGCTGGGGGCCCTAGGGCAGTGGTGCCGAAACAATGGAAAACAGCCGATGCAGCAGCCAGGGAAACCATGCTGGACACCGGGAAGATACAGCCAGAGGTCCCCTGAGAATCATTATCAAGTCTCTGAAGGGTTACCTGCAATGAAGATCTGGTGTACATACATGCTCCGTACCTGATAGCGGCAGGACAAGATGAAATTGACTAAGCGTAGAACAAGGGACTCAGATGGGACAACAGGAAGGACTTGGCTTTGAGAAGCACTAAGTTTAAATTCCAGATTAACAGGTCAGTCTTAGGAGGCAGCGGTGGCTGGAGCACTGAGCCCGCCTCGGGAGGTCTGTGCTCCAGTTCCTGCATTCACAGGAGGAGACTCAGACAGGATGACCTCCGGGGTCCTGTCCTGATCTCAATTTCTTAGTGCTCAGAGCTGTGAGTGGGACTTGGATCCTGGAGCAGGGGAAGTTAGGATGGACTCTGGGCCTCCTCCCAGCCCCTCCCACTGGGGAGTCTGTCATTCATTCTAGAGTCAGGAGAAAGAAGAGGATCCCTCACTGACCACATCGGTCCCTTAACATCTGCTCCTTGAGAGGGTTTCCTGTCTTTGGACGGGCGTCAGCCTGAGCAGGAGCTCAGTGACTATTAAATGGCACAGCCCTTGGGTGGTCCTGGGAGGAGACCAAGAGAGAGATCAGGACGTGGGCCCTGAGCTCGGGGACTGCTGAGGGAGACCCACACATGGGGCTCAAGGGGAGGCATGGAGGCAAAAACGTGTGGACACAGGTGTTAGAGGTGTGGCCATGGGCCCAAGTGCTGACAGGCACAGCGTCCTAAGTGAGTACATTTTTACTGAATGAGTGAGTGAAGATTGAGCCGGGAGAACCTTGTAAGGTGAAATGGTGGGGCTCGAAATGGGGACACAAGGCTTCTCGGGTGAGGGAAGTTAGGAGCTGGTCTAGGAATTGCCTCATTGGGAAGAATAGCCTCAGAGCAGGCTCAGAGGTAGGGGAGGAGAGGGCTTGGGAGAGAAGGCCGGGGAAGGGGAGCAATCAGGGCCGGAGGGCGAGAACAGGGAAGCGGGCTGTAAGCCAGAGGGGTCACTACAGGAGGGGGGCCGACGCAGGGGGCAGGGTGCCTGCAGTGGTGGCAGTCTTGGAGGCTCAGGCTGCTGGATGGGCTTAGAACCTTGAGCCTATGATCAGCTTAGGCATCAGAGGTTTGGGCTTCCAAACCATCTGCTTTATTCAAAGACTTTCAGCCGCTGAGGAGCTAGGAGGCTCAAACTCCATCTTGTCTGGGTTGGGGACAAGACTTGAAGTGCACGTTCTTTCTTGGCAGGTAAGAGGGGCTAAGGTTGCACTGGGCTGGGAGCTAGCCTTAGAGTTATTGGGTTAGGCACTGGGCAGGCCTTCCTGATAACCCTGTAGCAGTGATGGGGATGATGATAAATGTATTTGTTCATTATGTGCCAGGCAGTGTGTTAAAATATTTTACATGCATTATTTTCTTAGTACTCACAATAATCATATAAGGTAGGTAGCATTATCATACCCATTTTGCAGATGGGGAAACTAAGGCTCAAGGAGGATGAGCAACTTGCCACAACTTGGAAGCAGCAGAGTCACGATCAGAGTTGGAGTCTGGCAGATTCCAGAGTCTTTCTCTTAGTCACTAAACTACTCTCTCTTCTGACAGGACCTGGAGTTTCCTGAAAACTTCTACCTGTGTCATTAGGTGGAACAATAACTTTGCTTCCCAAATCTGCCTCACTGAAAGAAACTCTTCTCTCCCTTCTCCATGCTCTGATTCCCTTTTCCTCCATAGACAGGTCTTATCTAAAGGGCAAGGATTGTCTGTGCCTCCCCCATGGGGCTGGGAGCATCCTCTCCTCCAGAGGCTAGACTCATAATGGGATGGGGGTGGGGGTGCAGTGAATCTATGGTGAGGGATGAGAATATACGGTGAGCAGGGAAGAGGGTAGAAGTTGAGGTGTGGGGAGTACAGAGGAGGGAGCTGGGGGAGCCCAGGGGATTTGCAATCCCAGCTGTGGAATCCTTTCCAGGACCTGGTCTCTCCAGGGCAGGATGGCCCAGGAGCTCAGTGAGAAGGAGCTTTTAAAGATGGAGGTGGAGCAACTGAAGAAGGAAGTGAAGAACCCAAGAGCTCCGGTGAGCCTCCTATTCCCTTCCCTGCTTCCTCTTCTCCATCCCCTTCTGGTCCTCATGGAGCCGGGACACGAAGGAGGAAGTGATGGACAGCCTGGTGGTGGGCCTTCTCCAGGGCAGTAGAAAGAGCAGGAGGTGCCTCTGGAATGGGATGGGAAGTGGAAGGAGGTCAGGGTTTGATCCCACAAAGGTGTGTAAGAGATAACCTCAGAGCCTCGAGGGCTCAATGTGTCCGGCCCTGTCCCTGGGCTGGACCTGGCCAAAAAGTCCCTCAGGGTAAGAGTCAGGCTTTGCGGTTCTGGTCAAGGAACTCACACCTGCCTGTGCCTCTCATCTTTCTCCTCTCCGGCCTCTATCCCCGCCCTGCCCAGAAGCCTGCTTTCTTGGGACTGAACAAATCATGAATCCCGAGCAACAGACAAGGGCTAGAAGCACACTTTATTTTCTCGCAGATTTCTAAGACAGGAAAGGAAATCAAGGATTACGTGGAGGCGGAAGCAGGAAACGACCCTCTTCTCAAAGGCATCCCTGAGGACAAGAATCCCTTCAAGGAAAAAGGCGGTTGTATGATAAGCTGATGGCACTGGAGCCCCTCATCCTGAATGCCTGCCCCTCCTCAGCCCACTCCTTATCCAGAATCAAGTATCCTGGAACGCCCAGGGAACCAGTGGATGTTCACCTTCTCTTAGTCACAGAATGAGTAAAGATGCCTGGCTGCATGCATCATGAATCCATTCCCCAGTCCTGCTTTGAACTCTTTTCTCCCATTACCACCTGCCTTGTCACTGCTGACCCCACTTGGAAACACTCCCAGGAAAGCTTCCCTGGCTCAGCAGTTGACACCTAAACTCGTGGGGTCTGAAAAGACTGCAGTTCCCTGAGACCTCGGACAGTCCTTGGGAAACAGTTACTCCTCCCATTTCCCCCCTCCACTGTCTGCCTAGGAACCAGAATTCCCATTCAGAGCTTTTGGGTTGAGGACTGGAGTTGGGGCGTCCTTTCCCCCCACCTCATGTCCGGTCCTGTGGAAGTCCCCCTGGTCATTTGGGTCACCCCAGATGGCCTGGTGACAAAAAGAGCTCGTAAAGTCATGATGTCATGATTTATTGAATGTTATTGAGTGCCTGTTCCATGCTGGGCTAGGATAGAAAAGTGAGCTAAATTCAAATGGCTCTTATTTTCATGGAATTTAGCATAGAAGGCATGAAACAGGGATACAGTTTAACCAGTAAGTGCTGCTGTGGGGAAAAGAAAGTCAAGGGTGGTGCGGGAACACACAGCAGGTGGACAGTCAGGGCAATGTGAACTGTCAAAGTGAACTGTTGCAGGCAAATGGGGGCGTGGGGGGTGAGGACAGACCTGGGAGGGGTGAAACATGGGGCTGGAGAGGAAGATGAGCTCAAGTCTAAAGGATCTTGCTGTGAGCTCAGGTAAGAACTTCCTTTTTGACCCTCATTGCAATAGGAACCTGCTGAGGGTATTTAAGCCGCAGAAGGCTAGCTTTTGATTAGCATAAGGGAGGCTGGATCCTGCTAAGGTCGGGAAGACTAATTCCTAGGCCTTGTTAGCAAGAAGATTACTGTCTAAAGGGGCCACAGACAGACGTTCATGATGCAATGCATTCAGTGCAATGTCAGAGAGGTCTGCGTGAAGTATGAGGGGGACACATAGAAGGGCTATCAAATCCAGCTGAGTGGCTGCGTTGCATCCCGGGAGGGAGGACAGGAAAGGCCTTGAAAAGTAGGTGATACTTGGAGCTGAGTCCTAAGGGGTTAAGTTGTAAAGGGTGGATGGGTGGCAAATCTGGTTGAAGGGGCAGTTATGAACAGAGGAATAGATAAACAAAGAAGAAAAAAAGAACATGGGTTTGTATGCAAACACTCATCAGATCAGTTGTTGGAATGTCAAGAGAAAGGCCTAGATTTTTAAGATCTGCTGCTAGACAGGTGGGGTTGGAGACCATCAGAAGGTCTTGTTTGCAGTACTAAACTACTGATTCTGCTGGGAGTGGGCTGGTAATGTTCGCATTTAGAAGGGAATAGCTTTTGACAAGATGGAAAGGAGAAAGAGTGGAGGCAGAGAGGGAGTTAAAGAGATGATTGTGAGCTCAGGGGAGAGGTGGGTTAGGGCAGTGGCTATAAGTCTAGAGGGGGAGTTCTTTGCAAAATAAAGTTTTCAGATCTTTTTTTTTTTTTTTTTTTAGTTTTCAGATCTTGACATCTCATTGAGAGGCGAGGGACAGGGGGTGGTCAAGGATGCTGACAAGTTTCTGGCTTGGAGGGTGAGAGAGAGAATTGAAAGCAAGTATCTGAAAACAAACCTAACATAATACATTGATCTGAAAACAAACCTAACATAATACATTGATCTGAAAACAAACCTAACATAATACATTGAGCTGCAAACTCCCTCAGCCCCTCCCCAGTGGGCCACAGCCCTACGGTGTGTCCTGCTCCTACAGGTGAGGTCATGGGCCACTGGTCAGAATCCAGGGTCTCCCGGGAACCGTCCACTCCTTTCCCAATTCCATAGTAACCCCACTATGCCATTCTGTGACCTCAATAATAAATTCAGCCACCCCAATATACTCTGCTTAAGAGCAGGAAAGGAAGAGGAAACATTTAAATATAATACTTTTTTTTTTTAATGGGGAAGTGTTAATATTTCATATGGCTCCATCAGTAAGAAAGGAAAAACAGATGGGGGCTACAGTCACATGGGTGTAGGTCATGGGCTATGGCTTCCTTCTTGGTTGGAGTTCTTGGTCCAGGGGTGGACTCCCACCTTCATTCCTCAGGACTCTGAACCCTTATCAGGGCTCCAGGTAGAGCAGTGGTTTCTTCTGCCCACCTTTGTTACCTGAAAAACCCAGTCTGCCTCCTGGTGGGTTTCAAGCTAAGAGACACAACCAAGCCAAAGAGTGGGAGAAGGATTTATTACTTACAACAAGTAAGGAGAACACCAGGGATCTTTCCCCAAACAATAAAATTGGGGAAGTTTTAAGCTAAGGATACATGCATACTCATGAAGGGTCCACAGGAGTCCAAGCTTGAGTTGATTGAAGTCATGAGGGTCAGAAAAGGTCCACATCATTATCCCTTAGGTTCCAGCTGATCTGGTGGTTGAGTGCTTCAGGCTAATCTTTACCAGTGAGGCAAAACTGGGAGTCTTTACAACTGATATATTATCTTTGATATAGTACAATAACTTCTCTCGCCTGATAACAGTTGTTTGCTTTTGCATTCTTTTGTTCCCTTAAGATCTTTAATTACTGAGACCTGTTCAAGGGCAAGCATTGTGGCCAGGCTTACATCACCAAATGGCTTAGGCCAAAAATGGCCTGTCTTATGTCAAGAAAGTCATGCCTGGTTCTCTTTCTCCAGGGACCCCTTACCTTATCTACTTACACCTTTACTCAGGGCACAGTGCCCCAGAGGTTCTCTAGGCTCCACCTGTACCTGCCTAGTCCCCCTAAGATGTGGTGACCATCATAGGACCTCAAGATAGTGGTGGGCCCAACAGCTTGACTCCCTTTTCTGTCTGTTTTCCTAGTGCCAGGGGAGCCTTCAGTGGCCAAAGGCAATCTCAGCTTCCATTTCAAAGGAATTAGTATTTTGTGCCCTGGTGACAACATTCCTTCCTTCACATTAGCAAGTTCAGAGGAGGAGAATAAGGGTGGGTCATTGAAGTCATCTGAGCCACCCTTCTCCACCTCCCCCCCACACAGATCCCTGAGCCTTTTGCCATGAAAGGAAAGCACCAGATGGATGTTGTTACTGGTTCAGGTCACAGCACGTCCAGCAGGCTCTTCACAGCGCCTCATCTTTGGAACATGGTATCTCCTCGCTGGCACCAAACTGGGGCTCCACCAGGCCAGTGCTCACTCTGTAAGGCCACCAACGTCCAGATGATGGACCAGATTGACAAACCCCCAGGGACTTTTGCTTTACTGGGATGGAGGAAGAGGGCCATGAAAAGACCAAGCAGAGAGGGTCAGAGGTGTGAGGACACCAAGCAAAGACACGATCATTGAAATTCTGATGATCCTGAGCAGTAAAATAATGCCAAGCCAGCAAAAGGGAGGAAGGTGGGTGGGATGCTCTCGAACTTCTGATTTCCTGGTCAGCTAACATCCAGCTGAATACTTTCCAAGTTTCACATTCTCTAGCACCTTCCTTCCACACTGCACGTTCACCGGAGACTCCCAGGATGAAATTCCCAGGCCTCAGAAGGAGGAGAGGGGAAGAGGAGACAGCTAACTTACCTAATTCCAGGCTCAGCTCCAGGGCTGGCTGCAGCTTGAAATCCTGCCTAGTGGATCAGGCAGCTTCGCCTCCACCCCTGCAGCCCTAGGGAGTGGAGTCGGGTGTGTGTGGGGGGGGGGGCCGGGGTCTTATCTGCTCAACATGTTGGTGCCTCAGGCAGAGGGCAATTACCCAACCCTGACCTCAGGGTCTCTGGGAAAGTTAGTCAGAGCCCCCAGCCGCCTGCCACCTGTTCCCCAGCTGAGCTTGAGGCCTGGAGACTTAGATCAGCTTTGTGGGTGTATTCCACCTGTGCCGTCACACGGGGCCCCCTGCTTAGAAGGGCCCTGTGCTTCGTTTAACACTCTGTTGCTTCCATCTTGAAATTCTCAGTTTTTGAACATGGGTCCCACACTTTCATTTTGTCCTGGGCCAACACGTGTCTGGTCCTGTGTTGGGAGACAGAGGCCCTGGCCTGCTGGACAAGGCAGGATGCTTATCCAGGAGCAGGGTTTAAAGTGGGGTTCAAAATAGCATCGAAATGCTCGTACTCCCTGCCCCCCTCCACCATTTCTGAGGGTTAGAAGCTGGGGTCGGTGCGGGGGGGAATGACTCTGCAATAGTGTCTCAATGTCCCCCTGGCCCCTCTGACTTTTCTCTATGGGTGAAGGGGGTGACATCACCTGCAGCATCGGAGCTGAGGAAACAAACCAGCGGGGCCAGAAGAGGAGAAAAAGGCCAAGAAGAGATGAGGACTCTGCCCACTGCCCCATGCCGTCTGATCAGATGCAAATTCCTCAAGACTCTAACTTCTACCCTGCTCACACACTCATCTGTCTGTCCCTTTGTTCCAACGGCCTCCACTGAGCTCCCCTCATCTGGCCCCTCTACTCCCACCCCCAACGCCTTGGCTGCAGTGTTTCTCTGTGGCTCCCTTGCTTACCTCCTGTAAGACCAAGTCAAGACTTGTGGGTTTAGCACCAAGGCCCTTCCCACACCATGGGTAAGGGTCCTGCTTACCCCTGCTTACCCCTGAGGCCTCAGCTCTCCCCACTGCTCACCCCACCTGCCCCCAGGGCTCCATCAGTGGAGCTTTTCTTAATTCCTCCACCAGCTCGTGCTGGGCTTGAGACACCTTCTGTATCCAGCTAATTCATGTAGAGTCACAACTAGGCTGAAGCATCCCTTCTAGGAAAGCTTTCCCAGATTCTCTCCTTTATGACTGAATGAATAGGTCATTCAAAATTAGGTAGTTCAGAATTTAAGAAAGAAGTGTAAAACGGCATACCATGAACAGTGCCTCCCTCCTCTTCTCCTATATCCCTCCCTGGAGAAACCAATGTTAACTGTTTCTCACATGAGCTCTCAGAGATGTTTTATGCAGATACAAGTCAACACATATAAACATTCTCCCTTTTTTTACACAAATGGTAGCGCTTCATGCTGTTCTGAGCTTTTGTCTGGATTTCTTTTTTTTAACCTTACCTAGCTGGACTTCACTTACCTTTGGTGCCTACATGTACTCCTGAGCCTATAACCTTTCATTTTAAACTCTCCTTTAGTCTTCCATTTATTAGTCAAGTTTCAAGCTCCTTGAGGGCGGGGGAAAAATCTTTGATTTTTGTATTTCCAGCACCTAGAACATAGTAGGTGCTCAACAAATGGGTGTGGAATGACTGAGTGATTCCTCTTTATAGGCTTACTATGCGCCAGGCATTGTGTATTGAATATACACTATGTCATGTACAAATGAATAAACCAAAGATAATGAATGGACAGCCCTGGGAATATAGCATAATGGAGGGGCCAGGCTAGGCACAGACCCGGCTTCCCTGGAGGTCCTGGTGTTCTGCCCTCTGCTGGTCACTCCAGGCAAGGACAACATCCTGCAGGCGCGACCTTCCCGACGATGTTGTCCCTGGGGGCCCTTCCGTGAAATAAACCCATGGGAGGGGCTCCTCAGACTGCTGGCAAGGAGGAGAGAGAGGTTCTCCCCTCAGCTACTGGGGAT